AAGACACATGAATCCATCACTAATGCACAATGTTGAAATTAAGCTTTCTGTAAATACTTTCCACGTTTTGGTGACAAAATCTGTGGGGTTTTTTGAAGGGTGCCAAAAAAAAAGCAAGAAGAGAAAGAATGAGTAGTAACATGAGCCTTTTTAATCATTCTGAGATTCTTTATTGTCATTCACACCACATGTGGTACATGTGGTGGAACAAAATTATGTACACAAGGTCCCAGTTACATCCAACAAAAGTATAAAATGTAAAAGAAAAACAGTAATAAGATCTAAGATATGAACTAAGAAAAACATCAACTAAATATACAATAGGAACTAGTAGTACAAAAACAATATGCTGAACAGCAGCACGAACATGAGTCTGTGTGAGCAGATGAGCACGAATGAACACAGCAACATGAAGCAGATCAGCAGCAACATGAAACAGATCAGCAGCAACATGATGTGATTTTTCACAGTGATTATTCTGATTAGAGATTCGTGAGTCTAACAGCCTCAGGGTAGAAGCTGTTCCTCAGTCTAGTGGTTCTACACTTAATGCTCCTTAACCTCCTTCCTGAGGGGAGCAGGGCAAAAATTGTGTGTACTGGATGAGTGGAGTCCTTCATGATGCAGGTGGCCCTCTTCCTGCATCTGGAGGTGTAGATGTCTGTGATGGTGGAGAGGCTGACTCCAACATACTCATCATCCATCCATCCGTCCATCCATCCATCATCTTTACCCACTTATCCTTTTTTGGGTCGTGGGGGTCACTGGTGCCCATATCAAACAGTCACTGTGAGTCACTGTGCGAGGCGGGGTACACCCTGGACAGGTTGCAAGTCCATCACAGGGACAAATAGAGACAACCAACCATTCACTCTCTCACTCTAACCTAGGGGGAATTTAGAGTTACCATTTGGCCTAACATGCATGTCTGTGGGAGGAAACCAGAGTAGCCTACCAATGAAAACCCACGCATGCATGGAGAAAACATACAAACTCCACCCAGAAAAGCCCTCGGCTGGGATTTGAACCGTCCTGCTCACTGAGAGGCGGCAGCTCTACCAACTGAGCTGCTGTGGCATCCTCCTTTTTAATCACTTTCACACAAAAAAACCTACACATTCTCAAACAAAGGACCCACTGATAGAAGCCTGCATGCACAGACAGACAGATATGTCACTACAGATCTCACAAATAACCATCTGCCAAAACCAGGTTCTCTCTTTCTCCCTACAGTATTGCTCCACAGCATTATAAAAAGGAGGGAAGGGGTGCATAATGATGAGGGAGGTGTTTACAAAATTAAGAATCAAGTGTAGAGAAAAAATAAACTCTGCAAGGCTTCTTTCAAGCTATGACAGGAATATTTGTGTAGACTTTTGACTAAAAGGGTGACTACAATAGGTAAGTCGAACATCCATATTGCCCAGTTACAAAAACAAGCCTTCTTGATAATGTCCTCTTCACTAGGCAAATATTCCCCCACCCAAAGCTTTTTATTCACTGATCCTTTAATTCTGGTCAGGGGGGTAGGAGCTCGGTGATTAAAACCCCACTAAAATAAGAGCACTTATCACAGATTGTAAACAATGTCACATAGAAGAAAAATCAAGCATCCTTATTGTCATTTCTTCTTTTCTGCCCAGTTTCCATCCCTGTTCTTTGTTCCTCTGTTAAGTAAACCTCTGTATTCAGCTCACACTCTGCAAACAGAACTCTCACTGACTTTCCCCAATGTCCATGTGATGTTGCAAAGCCATGTTAACCAAGACGGTCCAACATCCAGAGCTTTGATCTCATCCACCTCTTGAGCCCTGCAACCTTGGACATTGATGACCTCAGCCCTGGTTATGGATGGACCAATCCCAGTGTCCCCCGACTCAGTTCCCTCCATGGAAAATGTGCTGGTGGGGTTGAGAAGGTCGGACGACATCCCTAGTTGAGATCAGCAGCACACACCTCCACTAATCAAAGTGTTTGTAAGTGCTGCTTTACCCGCTGGTCGAGTCTATTCAAGGGCTCACCAAACTCCTCTCACACCCAACGCATTGCCTCAGCAACAGTCAGGACTGCAGCCACCTAGCCTGCCAATACCCCTCAGCAGAGTTGCATGCAGCCCTAAAAAATCGGACCCGACCCAGCCCGGACCCGTAGGCATTTTTTCCGAGCTTGACCTGACCCGATTAAATTAACTGTAATTACAGGCTCGAACTCGGGGGGGGGGGGGGGGGGGGGGGGGTTTCATATGTTTTTTATGCAACTTTTACTTTTTTTTTCAGCAAGCTGGATTGGTTTAGAAGTTTATAATTAGTTTTCTAAA